TGGCATTCCAGGCCCTGATTAGCTTAAACAAGTCAAAATTCATAATCCTGTGTCCCCCGAAATTCTTAGGAGCCTAATGGACAGAATAGCAGGAAAGTCAACAATGAACACAACAGTTCCCTGTCGTAATAACTGCTCTACATAATCATTTCACTTTGCAAGTGGGTTCTTGTGTGCAGAAAACTCACCTTGCCCTGTTTCAGAATATTGTAAGAATTCAGCAAATAAAAAAAAAATTGCTTGAGAGTTGAAGACTGATAGAATCATTTTGGGGAAGAAAGGGAACTCATTTGTATGGATGGAGGATTTGCTCTTGCAGGATGCTGTATGAAAGTTGTTCAGAAATTTCCTGGAAGGGCAGGCCTCTGGCACAGTGGTTAAGACATTGCCTGGGTTTGTGTCCCAGCTCTGCTTCTGATTCCAGCTCCCTGCTGATGCACACCCTGGGAGGCAGAGGGTGATTACTCAAGTAGTTTGGTCTCTGCGACTCATATGGGAGACCCAGATTGCATTCCAGGTTCCTAACATCAGTCTGGCCCAATCCCAGCTGTGGTGGACATTTGGGGAGTGAGCCAGTAGATGGAAGATCAATCTCTTCTGTTTGTCTCTGTGCCTTTAAAATAAGAATTTAAAAATTAACCAAGGAGCCAGCACTGTGGCATAGTAGGCTAAGCTTCTGTCTGCAGCACCCACACTCAGCTGCCCTCTTTCTATCCAGCTTCCTGCTAATGGCCTGGGAAAGTAGCAGAAGATGGCCCAGGTCCTTGGACCCCTGCACCCACGTGGGAGACCCAGAAGAAGCTCCTGGTTCATGGCTTTGGCCTGGCCCAGCCACGGCCATTGCGGCCATTTGGGGCCATTTGGGGAGTGAACTAGTGGATGGAAGAGTCTTTCTCTCTCTCTCTCCCTCTCTCTCACTCTGTTTCCTTCTCTCTCTACATCTCTGCCTTTCAAATAAGTCTTTTTTTTTTTTATTTGACATGCAGAGTTATAGACAGAGAAAAAGGTCTTCCTTCTGTTGGTTCACTCCCCAGTTGGCCGCTATGGCTGGCACTGCGCCGATCCGAAGCCAGGAGCCAGGTGCTTCCTCCTGATCTCCCATGCGGGTGCAGGGACCCAAGCACTTGGGCCATCCTTCACTGCCCTGCTGGGCCACAGCAGAGAGCTGGACTGGAAGAGGAGCAACCGGGACTAGAATTTGGCTCCCATATGGGATGCCGGCGCCGCAGGCAGAGGATTAGCCAAGTGAGCCACGGCACCGGCCCTCAAATAAACCCTAAAATAACTATAAGACATAGTGATCTGCACCCCAGCATGTGCCCCAGGCCCTGGAAAAGTGTTTCACACAAACCATGCCTTTCCTCTGCACAACAGCTTCCTTTCTTTGGTGCGAACCTTCATGGCTGATCAGGATGGATGAGCTGTTCTTTCTGAGCCCTGTAGCACTTTAACTGTGCTGCTTTTTAGTTCATTTTTAAAAAAATTCATCTAAAAGTTGTTTCCATACTTTGACACTTCTGTGTGACTCTCATTATCTTGAATCTGAGAATTATTCATTGTGTACATGTCTTGACTGTAACACAGGCTCTATACATATTCATTGACAACTTCACATAAAGCAGTGGGGTTAACTGTGAAGAGTCTAGGCAGTCACATGAAGCAGACTGAGGTTGAAATCCGGATGCTGGTTGTGAGATCTTGGGAAAACTGAAACTTCTCGAAGACTCACTGCATCAACCTATGAAACAGGAATACGTCTCAGGGTCATTGGGAAAAACTAGACTGTCTGCAAATTGCCTAGCTTTTAAAATTTAAACTGGTTTACAAATTTTTATTTTACATGGAGAGAGAGAGAGAGAGAGAGAGAGAGAGAGAGAGAAAGAGAAAGAGAGAAAGAGAATGAGAATGAATGCTTGCTCCTGTTCACAGTTTCACTCCCCCAAATGCCCACAAGGACTGAATCAAAGCTTAAACTGGATCTGGGAGCCGGTTCAGTCTGCGTCTTCCACGCTGGTGTCAGGAACCCAGTTGCTTGATCCCACACTGTCGCCTCTCAGGGTCTGCATTGGCAGGAAGCTGGAACCAAGAGCTGGAGCTGGAGAGCCAGTGAAGGCATTCCAGTGTGCGATCAGGTTTCTTAACCATTAAGCCAGCGCCTGTCCCTTTCCTAGCTTTCGATAGCTAGGCCATAAATACTGTTTTTATTATGTAGGTTGTTGTAAAATAGCTAAGGGAATGAACAGTGTAACTGTAAGCACCTGAACCTAACAAAACTCAATCTTAACGTAGAAGAGTAGTTACTAGAGGCTAGCAGGGGAGAACAGTGGGAGGTTGGATAGTGGGAAGCAAATTAGTTAGGTAGAAGGACTAAGTTCTTGCTTACACAGCATAGTGGGGTGACTGTAGTTCACATTAACCTTTTATATGTTTTCTGAGCAAACAAAAGAGAGGAGTGCCACGGTTCTGATCATAAAGACCAAAAGGGTGAAGGGTTAATCACCCCTATTTTATCAGTTTGCATTTTATACCACTATTAAAATGTTGTACCATACTCCATAAATATGTACAATTATTGTTACTCAAAACAAGTTTATTGTTTTAAAAAGTCAATATTTTAAATTTTTTTAAAATTTATTTTATTTATTTGAAAGACAGAGTTACAGAGAGAGAGGTAGAGAGAGAAGTCTTTCATCTGTGGGTTCACTCCCCAAATGGCCACAATGGCCAGAGATAAGTCAATCTGAAGCCAGGAGCCAGGGGCTTCTTCTGGGTCTCCCACACAGGTGCAGGGGCCTAAGGACTTGGGTTATCTTCTACTGCTTTCCCAGGCACATTAGCAGGGAGCCGGATTAGAAGTGGAGCAGCTGGGATTCAAACCACCCCCCATATGGGATGCTGGCACTTCAGGCCAGGGCTTTAACCCGCTGTACCAGTGCCAGCCCCAATACAATAAAATTTTAAAACAAGAAAATAAAACGAAAAGGGCAGGTTACAGAGATTCTGGTGGATGGCTTCACTTTTCTAGATTTGCTTTATGGCTTACATTTTGGCCAGGCTTGCTGTCCACAGCGTGGCCAGATGTGACTTGTGCATGTTCTGGTTATTGGATGGTGAGAATGAAGTGGGATTGGTACAGGGGCAGGAGAGCTCAGTGGAGGTTGGCAGTGATGCAGAGAAGTTGTGCTTAGGCAGGCATTGTTAGAGTCGACCGCCCGAAAAACGTCACCAAGAGACACGTCTCTTATGCAAACAGCACGGAGAAGTTTTATTGATTATCCAGCATGCTGGGGCTGTCTGATCATCATGAGCAGAGCAGCCCCGAATAACCAAAAGTTAGGGTTTATAAAGGCAAAAACCGCAAAATCGGGAGGGGGGAGAGAATACACGGTTGCTAAGCGGTTGCTAATATCTTACAATCAGCAATTATGATTTTAAGACATAGACAAATCACATTTTCATTATTAGCTCAGGTAACCCAGGTGTAACCTTTTTATTTTTAAGCTTGAGCAGTCATGCTATGGGGTTTTTGTGCGTTGCCAAGGGTTATGTAGTGTACTGCTATTGTCCGACTATTTGAGATCATAGTTTCAGACCAGAGTCTCACGGGGTGGGTGGGTTGCTTTCCCAGAATGCAGTCTCAAGGGTTCCAAAATGGAGTCCCTACTGTCAAGGTGCTACTTTACTCTGTCTTATTTTCACAGCTGCACCCGGAAGTTTTAAACCTGTAAGCTTAAGCTTAACTTTTTACACCCACACGTATACAATTTTAACTCTTCAGCATCAACAAGGCTGTTGATAATTCATTAAGCCACACATTTGCCTTTTGGAGTTTTTGCTGTGTTTCATTTTACAATGAAAAACAAAAGTAAAAAAAAAAGTAAAGCAAAAACCAAAACAAGATAAAAATCCAAGTCTGGCCAGGATGCAGGAAGCTTAACCTAGGCTGTGCCCTCGGAGCCCAGGGGTCACTCATTTAGAACAGGCAGGGGAAGGGAAGATGGGAGGCTGCAAGAGACCAATGGCTGGTGTTTCTAGGCTTGCCAAGTCTGTGGAGGAGATTGGAATAGGACACACTAAAATATGCCTCTTTGGCATAAAGAGTATTTTGAATTGAAAGCGATTAAGAAACAGCAGACAGTGGGGAAAAAAAGCTCTCTGCCCTCCCCTTACCTGGCTGACACAAGACATAAATTTGCAGTTGTCAATGTGTCTTCCTTTTACACTGAGAAGTCCTGAGAGGACTCTAGATTTAGCAGCCCAGAGCACTGAGCGGAATCTGCAACCAAGCCTCACTCAGCAACCCTGTCTTCCACTGGTCTCCGCATGTGCTTACATTCCCACAATTTACTGCCCCTGGAAATCCTCCCTTTCCCTTTTTCTTTTCATAGCTCCACAATTTATCATTCTTTGTTGAAACAGTATAGAAGCTCTCTGCCTGTGCACTTCTTTGGGTCTTCATTTTTTGGCTTTTATATGGAATTTTCATATAAACATTAACATAGAATAACCTTTGTATGTCTTTTTTTTTCTGTCAGTTTCTCATTCTTTCATTAATTCAATTGGCAGGACCCCCAAGTTGCTGAACCCAGATGGGTAGAGGAGCAGTGTTTTTCCTCCTTTACACTTGGCATTCTTTTGGCCACCTCTCGGTCGGCTCCTGGCTCACCTGTCATGTGTTCACTCCAGCCCAAGTCAGAGGTCCTGTCTCAGGCCTGAGGGACTTCATCTTCTAGAAGAAAGCCTTGGTGCCCTGCTGTCTTCCTCATCCTTAGCTCTGTGGCTGCCTCCTTGGCTTCCGCCTGGAGGAATATGGCTTAATTTGCCCTTGACCCCACAAGGAGCCGTGAGAGTGCTCTTGAACATGTGATTGCCTTCCTGTCCCCTGTCTGCTCTTTACTAACTCTGCCTTGGGGCTTACGTTTTGGTGTTTTGAACACAACTCTGGTGTACTGGTGAAAGCCTGCTCTGTTTTCTTTTTTCTTTCTTTTTTTTTTTTTAAGATTTATTTCATTTATTTGAAAGAGTTACAGAGAGAGATAGAGACACAGAGAGAGGTCTTCCATCTGCTGGGTCACTCCCCAGATGGCCACAAAGGCCAGAGCTAAGCCAATCCAAAGCCAGGAGCCAGGTGCCCAGAGCCAGGAGCTTCTTTTGGGTCTCCCACATGGGTGCAGGGGCCGAAGCACTCAGTCATCTTCTGTTGCTTCCCCCGGCCATAGCAGAGAGCTGGATTGGAAGTGGAACAGCCGGGACACGAACTGGTGCCCATATGGGATGCCAACGCTGCCAGCCAGGGCTTTAACCTGCTGTGCCACAGCGCTGCTCCTAACGTGCATGTTTAACCAGCTCCCAGAGCCACCCCAGAGACCGCCAGACGGGGGCCCTGCTGGTGCACAGTGGTCATTCTCAAACTGAACCCTAAACAAAGCATTCACTCTTATTCAGATGCATATGGCTGGGCTTCAGGGTGTCTGGGGTGGGACTGAACATTTGGCATTTTCTAGCACAAATATTTTGTCAAACTGAAAGTTTCTTTGAATTTTCTGCAACTTAAAGCTCCCTTTTGTGAGGTGGCTCATCTCTGGCCCTCTTGAGGAATACAAAATAATGAAAGAATGTCACTGGATGCAGCTAAGATCTTCTGCTAAGGGCCAAGAGGAAGTTAAAGATATTTTCGTAAGAACACCCCAGGATGACAGTTTGAAGAAGCAGGTGCCGTACGGTCAGACGGTCTTGCTGGAAGAACCAGAGCCGAAGCCGAAGCTGGGGAGCAGGTTGGGGGAGCACAGTGCCAGAGCTGGCTTTGGCATCACCTAGGTAACCCCTATTGTTTGTCAGAGGTGACTGTGATAATAGTGCTGCTGTTAGCAGATGCAGCGGTCTGTTGGCCCATAGTCAACCTCAAGTGAGAGTGGCTGGGGGGGAAGCGCTATCATCTCCTGCGTGGCAGGTGGAGGAGACGCTGGAAGGTAGAATTCTCTAAAGAAACTGTCTCCCTGAGAAGCACTTTGCCAGGGCTTTCCCGGCAAGGTCAGGGGTGAGTCCAGGAGGTAGGAAGAGGGGAGTGGGAGGGCCCTACCCGGTTGCCAGGTGCTGCCCTGTACACTGTGTGAAAGTGGGTCTCTGGCTGGTCCCCTGCAGCTGTAGCTTTTCCTTGTCTGGGGCCTTTGGCCTCCTGAGTACAGTGTTCCAAGACAGGCTTTCCAGGAACAGCCTCTGGAAACCGGACGCCATGGGAGTGAATCCTCTCAGGTCCCTGCCCTGTTCCAGTGCCCTTCTGTTGGCCTAAATCCTGCACTGTTGGTCACACCACTGGTGCAAAACCTACTGAGACATTCCCCGGTGCTGCTGCTGGCATATGACCACGCTTTGAGAATCTCTGCTGGCGATTCGGAGCTGGTTATAACAAAAGGGCTAACAGCAGCAATGTTCCGAAGAGGGGAGGCCTTGGTTCCTTTTTGATTTTCATTTCTTGCAGGCTGGAAACACACAGTGCTCCACATCATGTCTTACCCAGATAACTAGAGCTAATCTTCCCTATGCTAAGCCTTTGCTACTTAAAATCTTATTAAGGAACGTGTTCCAAGATGAATTTTCTGGAGGATTTGGAGCACCATCGCATCCTTTCTCAATGACTCGAGTATCCTAATGGATAGCATGTGGGGTGATCTTCAGACTGGTTAACACCAGGCAACCTGAGGCTGTGCCACCCAGCACACCCTCCTGCGGCAACAGTGTAAGAAGGTCCTGGGGACCTTGCAGTTGCTGGCTTGTGTGAAGACCCTGGGAGTCCTGGGAATGGATGGATCTAAGGAGGCCAGGCCAGGCCACATGAGACCTTGGCTGTGCACGGGTGGGTGCAGGGGTGTCTCAGTATTTCAGCAACACCAGGCTGTACTGTGCCTGTCAGCCCTGAACGCACACTGGAGTGTGTTGCCCAGTTGAATAACGGGTGATATTTTGTTGCTTTAGTCTTGCTTCTTTGTTGTCAACCTCTGAGCTTTTGTTTTTAAAGAGTTATTTTATTTATTTGAAAGGCAGAGTTACAGAGGGAAAGGAAGAGGGAGGGGGAGGGAAGGAGGGAGAGAGGTCAATCTTCCATTCAGTGGTTCTTCCCTAAATGGCTGCAGTAACCAGGGCTGGGCCAGGAACTCAATGCAGGTCTCCCGTGTGGGAGGCCCGGGTAATTTTCTGCTGCTTTCCCAGGCTCATTAGCAGGGGTTGGATCGGAAGAGCAGCAGTTGAGACTTACACGGACGCCCATATGGGATGTTGGCGTCACAGGCTGTGACTGAACCCATGGTGCCACAATGCTGGCTCCCCATTTATTGTTGTTGTTGTTGTTTTTTGACAGGCAGAGTGGATAGTGAGAGAGAGAGAGACAGAGAGAAAGGTCTTCCTTTTGCCGTTGGTTCACCCTCCAATGGCCGCCACTGCTGGCGTGCTGCGGCCGGCGCACTGCGCTGATCCGAAGGCAGGAGCCATGTGCTTCTCCTGGTCTCCCATGGGGTGCAGGGCCCAAGCACTTGGGCCATCCTCCACTGCACTCCCTGGCCACAGCAGAGAGCTGGCCTGGAAGAGGGGCAACCGGGACAGAATCCGGTGCCCTGACCGGGACTAGAACCCGGTGTGCCGGCGCCGCTAGGCGGAGGATTAGCCTAGTGAGCCGCGGCGCCGGCCTATTGTTGACTTTTATTCATTCAGCAGCTGACTGCCAAGCAGCCTGTGTATACAAAGATGGATCAGGCATATAGTGAGTGTGCTGCCTGCTGAGAAATGAGACAGGGTCCTCAGCTTCTCAGCGACCCAGGACTATCTGGGTAAAATTTGGATACATTTTTGCCTTTCCGTATTGTAGAATAGTGAGGATGAAAAAGAAAAAAAAAAAAAGTCTGTAAAAGCATGTTACAGTGGCTCAGTATGGCATACACCAGAGGGATTGTTGTTCTTTTTCCTAAAAGTGCCAAAAGGAAGTGGCATTTCTGAGATATTGTCATCCTGGGTTACTATTGCAAATGCTTGTATCTTTCAAGGTATAAATTGAATCTGAAAAAAAGGCTAGCAGCAATATTCCTGATAAAGGAGGTTCTAGTGTTAAGTGGCAGCTGAAAACCTTTTTTTTTCCTCTCCCAAAATAACTGCTTGTCATCACTATTTTCTGGCTTCAGGCTGTTCTTTTAGCGGTGAATACAATTTTAGGCTAGATTGTGAGTGGCAGAGATAAGTGCTACTTGGTTCAGGGGAAGAGTGCAGTGGATGTGTGTGTAAAAGCAAGGTGTCAGCCACAGGCAGATGTCACCGCCGTTGGCCCTATGTGTGTGGGGCTGTGGCTCTCTTTCTGCATGGGAGGAAGCACAGGGCTTCTCCTCTTTGCTTCTGTGCCGGTTTGCCACAGCCCCCAGACAAGCCTTATGCTATGGTTCCATCTTATTCTTTATTTGGCTGTTCAGTAGGATGTGGCCGAGTCAGGCCAGGTGCCAGTGCAGAAGGCCCTCATGAACATGTGGTGGCTACGGTTGGAGTGTTTGTGTCTCTAAAATTCATGGAGAAAATTAGCCCCCAGTGCAGGCAGAGTAAGATGTGCAGCATTCGGGAGGTGATTGAGTCATGAGGACAGAGTGAATTTACCTCATCTCTGTCCGGTCAGGCTGCTGTGACACGGTACGGCAGACTGGGTAATTTATAAATAACGGAGATTAATTTCTCATAGTTGTGGGAGCTGGAAAGTACCAGATCAAGGTGCCTGCAGATTCGGTGCCTGCTGACTGCTTCCAGGATGGTACCCTGCTGCTTTGTCAGGATGGGACATGCGGCACAAGGGATGGAAGGGAAGGGCTGTGGCACTGGCTCCTGTAGCCCCTTCTATGGGGGAACCAATGCCATCCATGAGGGTGGCACTTTGTGACCCACGCAATCCCTGCCTGCTCCACCTCTCTCTCTCTCTCTCTTTTAAATCAACAACCTTTAAGAAGTGATTTATTTTATTCATTTGAAAGGCAGAATCACAGAGAAAGGGAGCTAAAGAGAGATTATCCATCTGCTGGTTCAATCTCCAACTGGCTGCAATGGCTGGGGCCTGGGCCCAGCTGAAGCCAGGAGCCAAGAGCTCCATCCGGTCTCCCGTGTGGGTGGTAGTGGGACACCCTCTGCTGCTTTTCCAGCTGTATTAGCAGGGAGCTGGGCCAGAAGCAGAGCAGCTGGGACTGGAACCGGTGCTCTGATATGGGACGCTGGGGTTGCAAGTGGAGGTTTAGCACTCAGTACCGCATCGGCTTCAGGCCCACCTCCTAATGTTGTTGCCCTGGGGATGAAGTTTCAACATGAATTTTGGAGAGGGCACAGACATTTCTGCCCCGCCCCCTTTTATTAAGATGCAGCAACAAGGCATGGTTTTGGAAGGAGAGAGCTCTTCCCCATACAGTCAGGGTGCTTTGATCTCAGACTTCCCTGCCTCCAGCACTTTGAGAAATAAGTTTCTATAATTTGCAAATGACTTAGCCTTCAGGGTTTTGTTACAAGAGCAGGAACAAGTCTGTTGGGGAACTTTGGGGTGCCAGTCCGTTTTTTTTTTTTTTTTTTTTTTTTAGTGGCTTTTGGACAACGAAGCAGTGATGCAGTTCTGAGGAGTTTGAGGGGCGGGGTGAAAGGAGGGAAGCGTTCTCAGGTGGAGCTGCAGACTGCAGGAGCTGGGAGTTTTTTAGTTTTTTAAAAATATTTATTTATTTATTTGAAAGTCAGAGTTACACAGAGAGGCAGAGAGAGAGAGAGAGAGGTCTTCCATCCGATCCATCACTCCCCAATTGGCCGCAATGGCCAGAGCTGCGCCGATCCAAAACCAGGAGCCAGGAGCTTCTTCCAAGTCTCCCATGCAGGTGCAGGGGCCCAAGGACTTGGGCCATCTTCTACTGCTTTCCCAGGCCATAGCAGAGAGCTGGACAGGAAGTGGAGCAGCTGGGTTTCGAACCAGCGCCCATATGGGATGCTGGTGCTTTAGGCCAGGGCCTTAACCTGCTGCGCCACAGTGCTGGCCCCTCAGTACTGTTGAAAGTGGAATGTGCTAGCATAACTGAGCCATGCGGCTTAGTAATACAGAACGAGAGACGGAGTAGCTCCAGAGACACCCCAGATAGATAAGAAAAAAAGAGCAGTTGGGTGTACCTGTTTCTCCCAGAGACTCAAAGCCTCATTTACTCAAGATCACAGTCAAGGTCAAGAGAAAGGAAACAAAAGTCAGATAAGGATGGAAGAAAACAGGAGCTGGAGCAGAAGCAAAGAGCCTACTGGTATGGGAAGAGACTGAACTGAAGACATGCAGACTCAGATAGGAAATGCATAAGCCTACTTCATGATAACAAAGTTAATTTTGAATAAGAAGAAATATACCATGGCCCATTTCAGGAAACAAGTGTCCTGTTTTGGGGGAGAAGTGGTGACTGGGGCATCAGAAGAACATGGGGTCAAGATCCAGCTCAATTACCATATAGTTTCATGACTTTAGATCTTAGTTTAATTGTACATAAAATAAAGGAGGTAAATTAGAGAATAAGAGTTCCTTCTGGATTTACATTTTAGTGATCCTCAGATATCCAGGACTTTTAAGCTTTAAATACGAGATGGATTTGACAGATCTTCATGTAGGGAAATATAATGCTTAGCATTTCCTACTTTGGTATGAGTGACAGGACGGAGACTTGGTTATACAGTAATTTTAGCTAAGTCTCTAAGCGCATATGTTGTGACAGCCTTGGTTTTAATCTTTCAAAGTATGGCAAAGCATGTATTGTGTGATGGTATAGGGCTTGACTATGTTATCCTTAGTTTGATTTCTGAAAAATTAAAATAGAGACAGCTCCCATTTGCTACCCTAGATACATGGTAGGAAATTATAAGATGATAAGTAATTCCTTTATAGCTTAGACGAATGGCTGAAAAATTGTAGACCTTTTTTTAGAGAGGATGTGGCAGGTAGGATATTTGTAAAAGGGGTTCTGCCATTCTGCATACTTTGAAATTGCAGAAAATATCAATGTTTAGTAA